GGCTTGCGTGCCTCCTATTCTTTTTCCTCAAAAAGACTTAAGAAGAATAAACAAGACACAAATTTTGAAAAAAATTTCGATGTTCTCAAGAAGCTCCAGATCAATATTCCGTTCATTGATGCGATATTACAAATTTCAAGCTACACAAAATTTTTGAAAGAGGTGTTGATAAAGAAAAGAAAGATTTTGAAGTTTGAAACTATGATATTAACTGAGGAAAGTAATGCAAGAATGCTAAACAAATTACCTCCCAAGATGAAAGATCCAGAGAGTTTTACTTTATCAATTTCAATTGAAAATTCTTGTTCTATTAATGCATTATGTGATATAGGTGCTGGTATAAATCTAATGCCATATTCTGTTTATAGGGAACTAAGACTTGTAAAAGTCAGATTAACATCAATAACGGAACCCATGGACATGGGGCACGAATGAAGGAGCCCTTACTCTAGAGCTAGGGATCATGAGTGTGCCTCGTAGCCCCCAAAAGCATGGGGGCCATAATTTGAACCGATCTACAACTAGCTGATAGAACAATTTCAAGGTCACGTGGCAAAGTTGCGGATGTACTCGTAAAATCAGGAAATTTAATATTTCCTGTATATTTCATTGTGTTGGACATACCAGAAAATCAAGAAATTTCAATTATATTGGGTCGGCCATTCTTAGCAAAGGGTCGAATCCTGATCCATATGGAGAATGCTAAGCTAATATTGAGGGTGGAGAACAAGTAAGAGATATTCAATATTTACACACAATACGAGCAACCTCCCAACATCAAAAGTTGCTATAGAATTGATGAAGAAGAGCTACATGATCAACGAAGCTATCAGAAAAGAAAATCAAATTTTGATAAACTTCTTGGTAGATATGCGAATGAAAATATCAAAATTTGGAGAGCTAATAAAGGGTGTATTAATGAAAATTGTAAAACAATGCAAGGATGGAATAACTTGGATCGAGCCACCATAATCAATCATGTCATAAAGTTAAGCTAATGACTTTTAAAAAGTGCCTCTTAGGAGCAACCCAAGCTCTATCCCTTTCTTATTACTTAGCTTTTAGTTTTAGGATTGTTTATTTTACTGTCGTAAAATTCTTGTTGTGTTGTTTGTAGGAAGATTCTCAAGTGTGTGGGTAACAATGTGATTAGAACGGCAACCCATATACGCCTCACCAGGGTGATGGCAATGACACAAACTAATGTACTTAGGGAAGTCTTAATCCTCATATGTATTTATTTTAACATCGGGTACAACGTGTATTTTATGTTTAACGGGTGAATTATCACTTGTTAATTGCCTTTATCAATTGTTTCAGTTGTTTAGTATCTTTGTATTTGTGTGCTTGTGTGATATGATTATATTTCGTGAAAAACAAATTGCATGCTTGTGTGAGTTCGATAGTTTTATCGGCTACGACGAATATACTTGAGAGCATGTATTAGTTTGTGGATTGTGGATGAGTCAAACGCTTTAATTGAATTTTCTACTTATCTATGTGAAGTGGTACGATAATTATGCATGATAATTAAGTTTAGCATTGTACAAAATCATGAAGATTCACATGCATAGGTTAATTAGATGACCTAGGTGCTTAATCCCTTAACCCATGATTCAGATCTTTTAACCATATACATTATAATTTGGGGTATTCTAACATGTGAAAGTAATGATTTAAGATTGTGATGATTTTGTGTATGTGAAAAAGATTGTCTAGAGTGTCTATGACTTTCTAGTATGAACTTGGTGAATGACCAAATGCTAGGGATCTAACCCTTGAAAATTGTATTTTCCTTTGATAAAAAATAAGCATGGCACTAATTCAGTCCATGTTTCACGCCTACACATTTTTTATTTGAATTAGTAAGTCATAGGGGTATTTTGAAACCTAGCACCTTTGGTATTAAAAAATCAGGGAGATATCGACTTAAAGCTTGCTACGGGGATCAAGAAGAGGAATAAATGGTAAAGTTAACATGAACTAAAAAAATTGAAAAAGCTTAAAGATCTTATTGTTAGGGGCTTAGATGACTAGTAGACTCGAGTCACTTAGTATAAATTAGATTATCGAAGCATTCATGAATTTGGAGAATAATCATATGAATAAATTTTTAACGTTGTCAGTCGAACTAAATCGGATTAGAGTTGTGTAAGGAATTCATAAGTGAAATCAAACTGTAGAATTACACCATGGTGAGAGAATGAAAGAAAATAAGTTTAGGGGGTGTAAATCTCACAAATGAAGAAAAGAACTAATTGACCATTGAGGATGGGGAAGTGAAAAAACTTGTAAATGTACGGCATTACACTTGATCCTTCACACACATACCCGCTTTGCATTAAATAGGTGAAAGTTTAGCTCTTGCGTTGTGTTTTGGACACTGTTCATAAATGTGATGTAATGGTCTCAATATGGAGCCAAAAAGACAAGCCATTTGACTAATTGTTTGTGTGTGTATTTTCCTTGAGTTATCTTCTTTTTCTTCGTGTTTGTTTACTTGAGGACTAGCAAATATTTAAGTTTGAGGGTATTAGACGAGTGTGTTTTTATTCACGAGTTCTATACAATTTTAACTTGATTATTTATTAGATCTTAGGAGTATAGAACGTTTTTTATGTGTTTATTAGTGTTGTTTTAAAAGTTAGGTGAGGGGTGTAAAAGAGAAATTAAAGAGAACAATAAAGCCAAAATCAACGAATTTAGAGAACAAGTTAGCTCCGAAGCGTCGGGAACCAAGCACCCAAGCACTGTGATTCACTAGAAGAAGCAAATCTGGATAGAAATACAATGCCTAGGGGCTGCACTCATAGCGCCCAGGCACTGTCCCTACCTCTTAGACGCTATACTATTTTTTTATTGCAGCACTTAAGCGCTATTTCCAAGCTCTTAGGTGTTGCGCCGCCTGTTTTAGGGTTACTCCGGTTGGCCCGTGAAAAGCCCATGAAGACTCTAAATTTCTAGAGGACGTGACGGGGAGTATACATATAAAATTGAGGACTTCAAAAGAGGATTCCACACATTGAGAGACACAATATACAATGTGAGATTTCGAGAAAAATCAAAAGAAAGTAAAGCAAGAAATCAAGATCTAGGTTTTGAAATCAAAATTGAATGCAAGAAGATAATTTGATGCAAGATTCATCTTCTTTTCTACATTTCAATTCAAGAAACGGTGATGTATTCAATGCAAATCTTCAGTGTTTCTTTCATTATCATGTGTAGCTAAATTTTGATAATATGACGAACAATGTAATCTATTTGTGATATTTTATTTCTTTTATTCAAGATTCTTATTATTTATTATACATGTGTTGATTTTGCTATGAGATTAATGTGATGAATTATTTGATAACTAATTTGATGATTTTATGAATCTTTTACGAATCTAGATGTGAGTTTGAGATTTAGACTATATAGTAAATTCGATAAATTAGTATAACGTATAAAGATACATATGCTGATTATTGCAATCATAAATGAATTCTTAGAATATTATTTACTTTAACTAAGGTTAATTAGCATAGAGATATGTGATTGAATTAGTTAAATAGGCTTAATGAAAACCCAAGAGAGGTAAATTGATTATAATAAAAGAATTCGACCGAACATTATATTAGATTTTGAATCTTGATTTAAGATTTAAATGTGATCAATAGATGAAATTGTCATGCCGTAATATCCGTTCATTATTTAAATTTTAAATCAATCTTTGTATACATTCACAGAGTTTTAAGTACTTAGGTCAGGAATCACAACAAATTGTAATTCTTTCTTTATTTTATCAAATAGGAGTTAGAAATATTAGATTAAGTATTAAAGTATAGTTCTCGTGAGAACGATAATTCGGACTCAAAGGTTAATTATATTACTTGTTCGGTATCGAACTTGCGATAGAAACTACGCAATAAAAGTATATAAAAATTGTAGATTTAATAAAATGTGAATTTAAAAATAAAGTTTAACTAGTGTTTTGTCGAAGGGATTACGTAGAAGATAGGATAGAAAATGTGACAAATGATCAAGCACAGCAAACGAGGTGGTCCCATGACAATTGTGAAAATTTTTGTTAGAAGATAGGGTAGAAGAGATAACAAAATATCGAGCATAGGGAAAACGTGGTGGTCCAATGACAATTGTGAAATTTTTGTTTGGTCATTGATATTTATATAAAAGTGATAATGTGGATGGAGAATTAATTTAACAATAGGTCATAGGTGAGCTGGAAAGTTACAATTTTAATGTGCAATGACTTCTTCAATCTTCACAGACTATCGGCGCACGTGGAACGTAAGCATATAAATATTTAGAAGTTCAGACAAAATTTTAATTAATAAACATTTTAGTATATTTTCTGCACGTTATTGTAATGAGTACCTAAAAAATTGATAAAATATCGTGAATATAATAAAATATGTGATTAAGCTCTTGTTTGATAGTCTTTAAAATTCCTCCAAAACAAAGTTTTGAGTAGTAAATATATGAAGAATGTGTGGTTAAAAAGTAAGGAAAAAATTTGAGATTACGTGCAGGAAATTTTATTTTGTGATTCCGTGATTAAAAATGATTGAGTAGAAAAAAGAGTTTTTGGATTCTTTAATATTATTTTTCAAGATTTATTGATTAATCCGGGCCCAAGTAATAAATCCACTTGTTACATGGACGGTGGCCTATGATAGGTCATAGATAGAACTTTTTTCTTGTTAACTACTAGATTAATTATATGAAATTTTGCTTGTGTCGTCTTAATTCATATCGAAATAAGTTGTTATCTTCGTTCACACATTTAGTCGTGAAAGTTAACCATAACCATTTACGGTGCATGATTTGCAAAGTTTTTATTTTTTTTGGGAAATTGATGAAATGTAGGTTTGAAAAATTACGATTCCACAAAATTTATGGTTAAAATTAATTATTTATTTCAACTAAAATTTTTATTGACTTTTAAGCTATATTAAATCTGAGTCGATTTCTTTTGCCACTAGTCTGTGTTGTATAAATAGAGGGACTCTGGTGGTACTTCTGCAAACTAGACAGATGGCTTCTTTTTGTGTAATTGCATCTGAAACCAAGTTCATTCCATATTCTTCTTCTTTCTCTTCCAATAAATCTCCCTTGTCCAATAACAGAAGAAAAAGCCCTGTCCTAAAATTTACATGCAAAGCCAAAAATGATGACCAAAGACCTGAAACCACCCCCAGAAATGGCGAAAATTCTTCAGGGAAGCTTGACAGGAGGGATGTTCTTCTAGGCTTAGGCGGGCTGTATAGCACAAGTCTTGCTGCAAATTCAACGGCCTTAGCTAAGCCAGCTCTCCCTGTCTACAAAGATTGCGTTGATGCCACACAACCCAACGGAACACCTATCAACTGCTGCCCTCGGGCGCCCGTCGATGCGATTACTGATTATCGTCCTCGTGCCACCACTATTAGCACTCGAATGGCTGCCCAGTCATTCACCGTAGATTCGGATTACTACAGGAAGTATACGACGGCCATTCAGAGAATGAAGAACCTTTCTCTGTCTGATCCACGCAATTTCTTGCAACAAGCAAATGTCCATTGCGCATACTGCGATGGAGGTTATACTCAACAGGGATATCCAAATCTGTTGTATGAAATCCATTTTTCTTGGATGTTTTTCCCCTGGCATAGATGGTATTTATATTTTTTCGAGAAAATCTGCCAAAATTTGATTGATGATGATACTTTTGCTCTACCATTTTGGAACTGGGATGCTCCTGGAGGAATGCAAATTCCACCAATATACAATTCTGGTGTCGCATCACCTCTTTATGACTGCCTTCGAAACCCGGCCCACTTGCCACCGACGGTGATCGATCTAGACTGGCCCAACAACGATGTATCGGTAAATCCGGACATTCAGATCAAATACAATCTTGCCATAATGTACAAACAAATGATTACCCAATCAAAGACTCCAATTGATTTCTTCGGAACTCCATTTAGGGCCGGTGATGACCTCCCCACAGTCAATGCCGCAGGTACAATTGAGCAAACTCCTCATAATAACTTGCATTCTTGGACCGGAACCGTAGTTGATCCTAACAATACAATTGACATGGGTGCCTTCTACTCTGCCGCTCGAGACCCAATTTTCTATGCTCATCATGCAAATGTGGATCGGATGTGGACCATATGGTTGAATCAACTCAAAGGAACCAATATCACAGACCCGGATTGGTTAGATGCCTATTTCATATTCTATAATGAGGAGGCAAAGCCTGTAAGAGTGAGAATTCAAGATTGTCTCAATACAACAACACTTGGATATACATATGAAGACGTGTCCATTCCATGGCTCGATGCAAAGCCAAAACCTCGGGCAAAAGCAAAAACCTTGCCTTCTGCACCTGACCCTGCTCAGGTTTTCCCAACAACATTGGACAAACCCATAACCGTGATTGTCAAACGACCAAAGAAGTCGGGAAGTGGATCGTCAGAGGAAATTCTCGTTATTGAGGGAATAGAATTCGATAAAAGAGACTATGTTAAATTCAATGTGTATATCAATGAAGACGACGTGAATGCTTGTCGTCCAGACAATACTGAGTATTTGGGGAGCTTCACCAATGTGCCCCATGGACACCGAATGGGTGCGAAAACAAATAAACAATTTAGGATTTCTGAAGTGTTGGAGGAATTAGGAGCGAGCAATTATGACAGGGTACTTGTGACATTGGTCCCGAAGAGTAATCCTGTGAAAATAAATGGTATCAACATTAAGTTTGATACCTAGCAAAATTTTTAATGGTATTTGGCATAATTATGAATTATCAATAAGATATCCTCGTAAGTGTTTTATGTACTCGTGGTATTACTTAGAAAAATGTATCTGAATAAATTCTTTTTTTTTCCTGAATAAAGTTCTTTTGATGGAAATGCAACTCAACTCTATGAAAGTGCATAAAAGATGAGGTAATTATAAGTGTTAGTGCTTGTTTAGGGCATCAAAAGATTTTTAAGAATAAAGTTTGTAAAAAGTGATTTTTTTCCCCAGAGAATGTATAGTTAAAAATAAATAAATTGGGTTCCTATTTAAAATTGTTTTAATTTGAAAATATATAGTTGAAAATAAGTTTGGGAAAAAATTGATTTTAAGAATTTGCATGGGCTTAACAAAATTTTGCTAAAATTTAATAAACTTTTTAACGGGTCAAACTTCAATTTTACCATATATCTCATGGGATTCACAATTTTTATTAACTTTTCAATTACAAACATCATCAACTTTTATCAAAATCATCTAAAACTTATATAAAAGCTTTGTCATATGCATCCTTGAATTTTAAACTTTCATAGTAACTAATTTCATATGGTTGTAAGTAGTTCTGGACAGGGTTCTATTGACTTTTATTCCCTTTCTATGTCATGGAAAACAACCAAGACTCGATAACATTTTCAACAAAATTAAGAAAAAGGGAGTATGTATATAGGTTTTGAATACATAGAGAACGAAAAATGTGCCAAGTGTTCTTGCTTGAGCAAGAGGAAATACTATAGGTGCGTGTGTTTGTTGCTAGGGGCAAGAATATTCTTGCTCAAACACGAATTAAGATTTTAGTCCGAATTTGCTATGTTTATACAACAATTGAGGGGTATATTAGGCATATTTTGGCAAAAAATTTAGGGAAAAAACCTCAAGCTATATAAAAGAAACAAATTGAACTAATTGGGGTTACTCAACTCAGCCTAAAGCACGCCATATTGTGTTGGGAATTTTGTTTTATGAATAAGCAAAGAGGAGAATTGGAAGCACGAGATTCATCTTCTTTTCTTTTTTTCTTTACAGAAAACCCTAGTGATGTATTCTATTTTTTTACTTGTGTTTTGGTGCTTTGCCTATGAATGACTAATTCATTATTATAAAACGAAAAACTTAAAACTTTTAATTATTTAATTTTGATCGTGACGTTTTGACAGTAAAATTTAATTAAAGTTGAGCTTTCATTAGGCCTTGGCAAAAAAATCGAAAAATTGCCAACCAATCAAACTGAACTGACTCGGGCTAGTTCAAGTCAGTTCGACATGGATAATTGGTTTGGTTTGATTTTTTTTTTAAACAAAATCATGGTGGATCGATTAAGCCATGATTTGAAACATCAAATCACTTGTTAACTAAACCAGCACAATCCACTTACATTTTTACCTTTTTTTTAAGAAAAATAAAAATCCAAAGATAAGCCCTAATCTCATAATTATATCTCGATTCCCTCTAATTTATGATGTTGTTTAGTATTGAAAATTTTCTTTACAAACTCATTACGCTATACTTAGCATTTTTCTCTGTTCAAATAGTTAGGCTAGATAATGCATAATAAAACAACAAAATTCTTATATTTTCTGTTGACCCGTCTCTATTAATCTGATTTTATTTGTTAGTTAATAGCTCTACTAATATAAAGTTATTTAGTTATGTTAATTCTTGTAATCAAAGTGGGCCCAAAACTCGAACAATTTTTTTAGAAAAATTCAATTTGAGTTAAAAGTCCAAATCGACTAACCAAATCGAATTGAACCAAACCGATTTGCCAAAATTATTAATTGGTTGGCTTACTTAATTTCATAGATATTTAGGACCGAACTTCGACGTTTTATATGGGCTTTGATGTAACCACATTTAAATCGACAATCTTGCTATTACTGCAGGAAATATTGACAAAAAATTTTGGCAGACAACACATGACATAGAATCAATGTTTTGAAAGTCGGCCTGAATGTTGACCCGAAAAAGCTAAAGGGTCAAGGGTTGAAAGGTCGAACCGGTATTAAATCGGGGTCGAACCGGTTTTAATAAATAAATAAATTATATACCACAACAATTGACAAAATTTAGTTAATTTCAAATTAACTTAATATGCATAGACAAAAAGCACCCATTAATGATTAAATTTGGGTGCATTTAATTTTTATTTTATTTTATGGTGAATTGTTTAATACTTTCATAGTATTTTATTGTATTAATATAATAAAATTAAATAAAAGATCACATAAAATGGAAAAAAAAAAGAAATTAATCTGAAGAGATAAATAATTTACAACAACAGTATTATCCCTTTTTTAAATAAAGCTATTGCCTTTTAATTTATTCATTTTTAGAATTGAAAAATTATTAATGTTACACCCATTCATTATAGTCAAAGTCAAGAAAGTATTCACTCAAATTATTGGTGAAATAGGGACTTAAATATAGTAAATCATTTTATTGAGTCTTGGATTGATCAAAATATTTTATTGGGGTCTATTTTACAAATTTACAATACTTGGGGTTATAACATGGACATCATTTAAAATTTAGAATTTAATTTACAAGTATGGAAGTTTAATGACTAAATGATATGCTTAATTGAAGAAGGGGGATTTTCTTTGCAAATTTTAGTTGTGGCCCATTTAAAAACCCCTTGTTCATTTCGTTACACACGCAAAACATATACAAGAATCTGGAAAGTGGAAACGGGGCAGAAGCTGGGAAATTCGAGAAAAAGAGGGAGAAAAAGAGAAAAAAGAAAGGAAATGGAAGAGGCTGATGATTTTTGTAAGTTTGGGTTCTTCATTTCTTCAGCTTGTCCTTATTTTAAAGAGGTAAGTTAAATAAATTTCTAGGAAATTTCTAGGGTTTATGAACCATTCATTTAAATTCGAAGTTTAGCAATAATTAGAGATTATTATTATGTTTTTGAGGTATTAAACAAGAATATATCAAAGGAATATATATTTGAAAATTTGTGATGAAGAAAATGGAATTTTGAAGGGGTTTGTGAGGTAAGTGCTTACTCTTTGATTTTCTTGTGATTATATAATACTGAACACTTAAATTAGGGATTTGAGATTGGAATTTTCCATTTTTTTAAGGTAATTTTTGGGTTACTGCAGTATAGGTGTTGTTTCTGAAAGTGTGCCCAGAATGGTGCCACTTCTGTCAATAGTTTTGGTGGCAGATTTCAATATCTAGAAATTGGAGTCAGATTTCAATATTCTGGAATTTTAGTGATGTCTTTGTCAAACCTTTGATTTTCACATTTTAAAGGCTTGAATGAAGTTTTATGACAAGTATTGAGGTTTATGTATGGGAATAAATTATGCATAGGGGTTGTATATGTATAAGTTATTGATTTTAAGGAAGTGTGAGTAATTTAATGGATTTAATAATGCATGGTGTTTAGTTGATGAATCAATAAAGAAAATAAAAGTTGGGGAATTGGAGATGTAAAAGTAAATATAGAAGTTGAGGAGTTAAGTGGTGAAATTGTATTAATTTAATTGTCAAGTTTTAATTTGAGTAACTATACGGTTATTTCAAGTAGTGACGTGAAAGTTTAGAAAGACTCGTCAATTTAAGCAGATTTTTATCCATAGATCTGTGAGTGGAAAAACTTAAATATTTTAAAAGTGTTTATAAATTAAGTATATGTGCAATTATATGTTTGATTTTATAATTATTATAGAAGTTTCTTTTATTATGATCCATGCAGAATTTCGAGAATTATTTATTATATATTTGTGACTTGGTATATGAGATATGTGATATTAAGATTTGTTTGGTATGTGAGACGTGATATTGAGATCGATCAGAAAAGTACCTGTGATTATGTATTTCTTCTACTTCACAGAGGGGCCTTGATCGTGTTCTATCCTACACGGAGGGTCTTGACCTGACATTGGTCTTGATCGTATCATATAGTTCACAGAGGGGTTTTGGCCATGTTTTAGAATTGATTATGAGAGGTCTTTGAGATCGACTTTCGTTCACGGAGGGGGTCAAAAGCCGGTGGCGAAAGTTTTTAACCCGAGGGACGGATTATATATTTTAGTCAGAGGGTACATTTCTGGTGGATTTTTCAGTACATTTGATGTGATGAGATTGTGGCATAATTACTAGTTTATGATCATATCATGATTTTGAGATGATATTTTTCGACCTCATATGAATATTTCACTTTTGGTTATAATTACTTGATGTTATCTTATGAATTATTATATGATATAAATTCGATTTTCGATAAAAATATAAAATTAAAAAAGTATAATTATTTTTGAATTTTTTCACTCATTGAGTTATTAACTCATATATTTTTCTCAAGATTTTTCTACAAGTAGTAATTGATTCTTTTTAGCAGGAAGAGTCTAATGATTTAGGAATGAGAGCCACACGATATGTTGAATATTATAACTCATATTAATGAAGCACGAAATAAATATTTTGGGCCCATCGTATTATGTTTTACATAATCATTTGATTTTGTTCCATTTTTTGAAATAACTCATAATCAACCTTGGTTATAGATTTAACATCTAGTCAGTATCTATCATCGGTGCACGTCGCGTTTCGAGTCCACTAGGGTGATTTGGGACGGGTCGTGTCAATTAACAAGAGACGGAGAGAGGACTGGGAATCTAGAGACCATTTTTTTTATTCCCACATTGACAAGAAGAGTTGATTGATATCTACCTACAAAGTACAAACATCTTTCTTGATCCCATATCGCAAACCTGAGAAAGAAGCACTAAAGATGAATTATATAAATATGTGGGCCAAATATAAATTTGTGGACAGTCAATTTCTTGGGCTGAAATTTGAAAACAACATTTGATAAAGTATTTAACTCGGAAAAATCGGCAAAACCTGTTGCGGGTCGTCCGGTCAACGGTATGAGTGGTTGAAATTTCGATTTTTTACCGGTTCTAATTAAAAACGGTCTAAAGCAATGACCGACCTGGATATTGGTTCGGTTCCCCATTTTCCCAATTGAACCGATCGGTATAGTCCGATTTTCAAGACATTGCATAGAATCATTGGAAGATGGAGAGGGAGAAAAAATAGGCACATCACGCATCGAAACGTCAACATCGATATGAATTCTGTCAATATTTTCTTGTACTCATAACTTTTTCCTTAAATGGATGATTACCTGAAAATTCTAGTATTCCTCATTGTCGCTCTTTACACATTTAGTACGTGTTCATCAACCTCCTTAAAGATCTTTATTTTATACATGTCATTTGAGGTTTGACATGTTAATATAACTTAAAGTTAGCCAAAGCATTTTCAAATAATTTTAAGTCGTGCATAAAGAATTAGTTAGTAATACATAAGACATATCATAAAGTACAATTAATTAAATGATGATTATTCGATCCAATGGGGAAATAATAATCTTAAGAATTTAATTGCAATAAATAATTATTAAATGTTGAAACAAGAAATTTCCTCAGCTCACATGTACGAAATATATTTGTATTTGATATTACTAAAGTCTTCGTAAATTCAATGTGTGATAACAACCTCTATTCACATGAAGGTTTGAATTTACATATTTCAATTGTCATTAGTTAATTCAATATAAAAATAATCTTTATAGTATTAATAAATGTTTACATTATGCAGTGATTCTAGTGTTTTCTAATAACTCTATTAGAATTCTAATTCTATGTGTAATAGGAAGGAGAAAATTCTCATTACTTTAGGATGTATGGATCTTGACTTGGAGCTTCGTGTGGATGAATCACTTGACTCTATGGAATCAAGTACTCCAGGGAGAGGCCATTGTATGAATTGTGGGAAACATTCAATTGCTTGAGTGTGAGTCTCATAAAGACTCATGTCAGTAAATGCATCAGGGGATCAATTCCCTCAATGGGATAAGGCCAAGAACTTTATAAAGGCTATTGAAGAACAATTTGTAAGTTCTGACATAATGTTGTCTAGACATAATGTTGTCTAGTACCTTAATAAAAGGCTTTCAGGTATGAAGTTTGACAATTCTAATGGTGTGCATGAATACATAATGGAAATAAGAGACATTGTTGCTCGTCTTAAATCCCTGGAGATAGAAATTTCTAAGTCATTTCTTCTTCATTTCATTTTGCACTCTCCTCCTGCGGAATATGGTCCATTTAAAAGAAAATGCATAAAGAGCTAGTAATTTGCATATAGAAAAGAATATCAAGGCTTGCAGTAGAATAGATGAATTACTGGCATATTTTGCACTACTAAAAGCCTCTTTTTGAGCAATACGTAGCAAATGCTTTCTATCCAAATAAGCACCTAAAAAAATGCCTTAGCGAGTCTAATGGTAAGACATTTGAACATCATTATCCTTTCTCCATCAAGAAAACAAGCAATTATGAATAAGCTTCTCTGCAACGCAGGATATTACAATATGCATGCAGTCAAGCACAAAACCACCTTAACAGAAAAATGAAGAAACATCATGTACAAGAAAGTGACCCCATAGTTGTCTAATAAAAGACTAAAAGTCGAGAGCATTGGATAGGATGTCTACCGCTTGTGGTCGTTTAAGGTCTTACCCTCGAAAAATTCACCAGGCACATGTTCGGGATCCTCTGGATTGTACATGATGTACTTCTGTGGGTTATTACCCGTTCTCAACCAAAGGCCTGAAACGTATGTCAAAAATCTAAATTCATTTCACCATAATATACTCATGTTACATGAGGTAAGGATGATGTTAACAATAAGAAACAAACTATATAAGTCATTTGCCGCAAATTAGAAATATTATGCCACCAACGTAGAATCATTATCCTAAGCCTTTAATGAATGTCATGACTTTTTTAACCAATAATAAGAAATGTACCCGAAGCATTTTGTTCATGTGAAACCCACAAGTATACGTGATTGTTGACAAATAATAGATATAGTGAGTTGAAAGCATCGTCCTATCATACAGGGAATAAATTTCAATTCAAATTTACAAGTTTCGTATGAAATTTGAATTATGTAAACAAAATAAGTTTGACTTGATTTATGCTAACTTAGTCTAATAAAGCTGCAAAAATATGATTTTTATCAAATTATGAATGATTGTATTGGACCTAGAATCTGTCTTTTGCTATCTATTTTAATTCTTGATTAGTAGTCTAGTTTCGCTCATACGTTTATGACAACTGATCAAGTTAATATATTTAAATTTTTAAGACAAATTAATTTCATCTTAATCACGACCCAAATATATTCCTAGTCCAAATTCGAACAGTTAGAACACATTAAATTTTAGATTATCTATATGATTGCATACGTGATAAATTTTACTCCTAATATCTATTACACATATTTTAATTATGTCGGGTACTAAACATATTGTGAGTCTTCCAATACTACAATAAGCAACTAATTATCTAATTGACGACTTATCAATTAAATAATACAATGGATATGCAAAATTAATCAAGAAATATAAGAATTAAAATAAACTACTAGTCTTGAATTAGAAATAAATAACAAAAAGGATTTATCTTCATCCAATACAAAAGCGGATCTAGCCTAGCATATTAATATATAAATAATAAGAAGAAGAATAGAAAAATATCACCCGGATCATGAAATAATTCAAAAGATGTTGATTTTCAAATCCAATGTTAAAATCTTCAAAATCTTGATATAATTGGCTTTCAATTCTTGCTAGGGCTTGATCTCCTCTCTAAAAGTATAATAATTAACACTTTGTTTTTTATGAATTTGATGAAATTATTATGTATGAAGATGCAAGAGAGGTGTTTTTTTTTTTTTTTTTTTTTTTTTTTTTTTTTTAACCCTTATTTTCTATTTATGAAACTGAGAAAATAGATCAAAATCACGTCCAATTTGAGTCCCAAAAGAGTTTGAATCGTGAAAGTAAACTACTGATTCGTGAGTGCACCACTATCCGTGAGCAGCTTTCAATATTTTGGTCATAACTTTTTTTTCACTATCCGATTGAAGTGATTCAAAGTGACATGAAACTCAAAGAGCTAAAACTCTATTAGAAGTACAATTTTTTTCAATTCAAACGTTTGTTATCTGAAAAATGGGTCTCAAGTTGAGGCTAAAAATTCGGAGTATGACTTCTTTGGCTAAAAATTGATTTGTGCAAATACTTCAACTCTATTTCACTCCTTTGACCTCGAAATTACATACAATTGATCATATGTGATCTCCAATCATCATTTTATGGTGATTGGATTAAATGTCTTCAATATAGTAATGAAATACAACAAATTCAATCAAATCACATTCTAAGTCAATTTATACCACTCAACAATAAAATATAGTTCTCCAGGAAACTACAACTCAAACACACGTCTTTGATAATTGCTCTTGAAATTATGCTACTATTTCCTCCATCCGTGCTAGCAAGAGTGCAGAAGGATAATGTATCTACAAATTACCTCGTCCTAGTATCTGACAAACTGTCTTGTGTTGCCTTTCCTACCGTATGGATTTTTCTCACTGAACCCATTTTGTTTGCCTTCGACTCTTTTCACCTTCTTGAATTTTGATGCTCTATTGTCTATGTTCAAGTTTACTTTCGGAGGAGATGATAAACAGAATGAAGCAACTATAGCCTGCAGCCTCAGTTTTGCTGACAGCCGCAGTGTAAGGGTTTAATTCTTGAGATATGGAATTGGACTCTTTGTGGGCACAGTGTACGGGCAAACTCTTGTTCCTTGGTCTGTTGGGACACATCCTGCGATTTACCTCCCTCACGATACGCTAAAAGCGGGGTAGTGGGGCCCTCAAGGTTGAGGATCAACCTTTTTTTTAAGAGTGCAGAAGGATAGTTGTTCAGAACATGCAAATCAATATAAGAGGATTGCTTGTGTGGTTAAAACGTAGGGAAAAGTTATGGGGAAACATAAAAAATATTCTCAATATCAGCTAAAAAATTGTGAGCACAATGTTAGTGTACTACCTTCACACAGAAGGTTAGTGGATACACATGCACTATATATATGTAGTTCAAGACTTTGTCGTGATGGGTGACCTACCACCATAAAATTATATGCAAGAAAAATGTCTAGTTTAAAATAATGGTATGGCTACAAAATTATGAGTTGTTGCACAAAGAAAGTAAAACGTACCTGTATGATGACAAAATCTGCTTAAATTCTTCTTCCAGCTTGGTTATAGCCTTGGCTAGTAAATTATTTATATGGCTGAGCTCTTGAAGCTTTTGTTGTCACTAAAAAACCTAATGTTGTTTCTTAGTTGCTCAATTGCTTGAAGATGGCTTTCCAGGTCCTCATGTGGCCCTTCAAGTATTTTAGCTTCAGTCAACAGAAACAAGTAAAACAAAGATATCAGCAGTTTGAGAGAGAGAGAGAGAGAGAGAGAGAGAGAGAGAGGAAAACACATCTGGGAGTTTACATAAAATAGGAAGGTGCCGATTTTAATTCATCTCTTCTCAAAACTCGAATTTTACTTTTTATTTCTATCAAATTGGGTTAATTTTAGCTAATTTACAACAAGGAAAAATAAAATTTTGTTAATATAAGTTTCGCTGTTCAAGGTAAATGATTTTTCATTTTCATATCAAGAATCAAGATAGATGGTACAAGTTGACTTTTCCTATGAATGTCTATGTATATTTTAGTATTTTTGATGATTGTCAACTTCCTCACAAGAGGAGGGTTCATGATTTTTTTATTAATCGTGAGCCTCCCTTCCATGTGTATAGTTGTCAATTATGATTGTTAATTCTGGTTGTACATGTAGCATAATCAGTATATTTTATATTTATAAATGTGATTGCAAGTTTTGAACTTTAAATGTTAAAGTTTTATGGTCATAATCGATTTTACGATTCTAAGGAATTTTCTAGAATCAAAGATTTTATTGTTAGTCCAATTACATGAAAATGCAGTAAATGAATGTAATATAAACAATGATTTGACATTCTTTTAAAAAAATATATTCTTAAATAGTAATTTGATATTATTTCAAAAACACATTTTTCAATAAAATAATATTAAACGCAAATTCAAAATTTTTTTTTATTTTTTAACCACACATTTTTCATCAATATAGTGTTAAAAAATGTATTCTTATGAAAATAATGTGGCTCAAATAAGAGCATAATAACTCGCACGTTCATTTGTATATGCCAAAACAGGGAAAATGAAAATAAATACGACAATTGCAAATCACAATTAGTCATCGTCCAAAATGGATGTGTATGAGATTTACTCAAGTCTGTGTGCAATTATATTAACCTTTTAGGGTCAAACTAAACTAATCAAAAAGCACAATAATTAACAAATTCACAATTATAATCTATCTCAATAAAGCGTTGTGCTAATATTTCCATTTCACGGTGGAGAAAATGACGTCAGTAATGTCACTTATATAAGGGAAAATACAACCAATTCGGATATTAAGCGACCATCAATTCAATTGTCAATCATTGAGTCACAATCATTTCAAATGTCCAAACACGTGTGAATGTAATTTCACACCTAAATGTCAATTTGGGGTAGTTGGGAATCCACACCAAGGGCCTATTTGAGCTACCTTATTTCTCAATAATGCATTTTAAAATAGTAAATTGATGGAAAAATGTGTGATTAAAAAAGAAAGAAAAATTTTAAATCTACATATAATATTATTTTATTAAAGAATATGTGATTGAAAAAAGAGAAAAAAAAATGTATTATAAAAAGAATGGAGATCAAATGAGGGCCAATACTGAAATTTCATTAACAAATCAGATTTAAGCGACCTAATTGTAGTGAGGATAAAGTTATTTGTACATAATTTTATGTATTTAAAATGGTGTCCACACACTCACGAGTGGGCCCCACACCTATGTGAGTGTGTGGACACCCTTAGATAGATAAAACTATGTACACCAAGCATAGACCTTATAGCGAATCGCCATTAACCTGGACGCATTGCATACTTAGACTATATTGCTACGAGGCAAAAATTAAATTTGAATAAATAACGAGCTGTTATAATCAAAATTAATGTGGACCTTCACACAGAAGGTTAGTTGACATACACTATATATGGAGCACAAGACTTTGGTGTTAGGTGACCTACCTACCACCATATAATTATATGCAAGAAAAATGTCTGCTTCAAAATAATGGTATGGCGACAAAGATAATAGGTTTTTTGCACAAAGAAAGTAAAAAGTATCTGTATGATGACAAAATCTGCTTAAATTCTTCTTCCAGCTTGGATATAGCCTTGGCTAGTAAATTAAAAAAATAATAATAATAATAAGTTGAACCCAACCTTGAGGGTTTTCACCGTCTTGTCTCTAAAGTTTTATGAAGAAGGTAAATCGTGGGATGTGTTCCAACAAGTAAGGGAACAAGAGCTGTCTGTACACTGTACCTATAAGGAGTCTAATTCCATGTCTTAGGAATCGAACCCTTACACTGCGGCTGTCAGCAAGGCGTGAGATAACCTCACTACTATTCTTTGCACCATTAGACTATGCTCGCAAGTAAATTATTTGTATGGTTGAGCTCTTGAAGCATTTGTTGTCACTAAAAAACCGAATGTTGTTTCTTAGTTGCTCAATTGCTTGAAGACAGATTTCTAGGTCCCATGTGATGTGGCCCGTTAAGTATTTTTGCTTCAGCCTACAGTAAACAAAGATATCAGCAGTTTTAAACAAAGAAAAAACACATCTGGGAGTTTGCATAAATAGGAAGGTCACGTTTTTCATTCATCTCTCCTCAAACCTCGAATTTTAATTTTTATTTCTATCAAATTGGGTTAATTTTAGCTTACTTACAAGAAGGAAAATTTTTTTTTTTGTTATTATAAGTTTCGCTATTCAAGGTAAATGATTTTTTCTTCATTTTCATATCAAGAATCAAGATAGATGGTACAAGTTGATTTTTCCCATGAATGTCTATGTATATTTTATGCATATAAATGTAATTAAAAGTTATGAACTTTTAATGTTAAAGTTTTATGATCATAATCGATTTTTACGATAACGTTAAGTAATGTCAATTATATAAGGAGTCACAATTTAGGGAAGTATAACCAATTCGATACTAAATGACAATTAATGAAGGAAAAAAAAAATTCACTATTCAATTGTCAATCATTGAGTCACAATCATTTCAAATGTCCAAAAAAGTTTGAATGTAATTTCACAAGTAAATGTCCCTTCGGGTTATTTAGGAATCCACATCAATACTGAAATTTCATTAACAAATCAGATTTTGGTGACCTAATTGTAGCAAACTTTCATTGATCTGATTCATTGCATTTAAGCTTTAAATTAAATTGACATGTTGTCATCATTAAACATATGGTTATCTCAATTTTTTTCTTGAACTATAAACAATAACTTAATAAAATCACGACAGAAGTTATATAATTGACACTAAATTTATCAAGAATCACTATATTAATTTAGTCATCTTAAACTCACGTCAATGGAGTGTGGTTTTAATATTCATGGAAGCACGTCAAGCTTCTTGTTGTATTTTTCTTGATTAATTTGACTTCTCGCAATTATCGTGTTCTTGGTTGATTAGACTATAATGCTTTGAGGTAAAAATTGAATTTGAATAAACAACGAGCTAAATGGTTGTGTTAAAAAATGCATGTAGTATTTATATATGTTAAATACAATATATGTTAAATAATAAAACAATATATGTTAAAAAATACATGTAGTATTTATAACTTGATTATCTTCAATAATCTTCAAGAATGATATCTTAATTCCGACGATCGGTCACTTTGAAAAAAAAACGAAAAAATTGAGTTCTTATAAAGATTAAACTCAAAATACACTTTTTCTTATTGGCATTGCATTGAGGGTTTTTAAAAGTATTTTCCCATTAGACTTTGCTGTAAAGGAAAGAAAAAAACGAATGGAAAGTGAAGTTTTGGCTTAAGATAGTTTTAGGATTCAGTGTTCTGAGATCTTGTGCATATTTGTGCAATACAACAACAAATAGAGAAATTATGGAAAAATCAAATTCACTATTATTTTTTAAAAGAATCGAATCGAAATCAATTGATTCTCGATGCACGGTCCCAAAATCGATCCATATAAAGGAACCAGAGCCCAACCTGCTGGTTCTATTCGGTTCCGTTCCAATTCCACCAATTCTGAAAAAAAAAAAAAAAATGAAAAAGTGTCCACTCATATCCAAAAGTTCCATAATCGTGATAACATTGTTCCACCACGGGATTCTCGTCTTGTCATTGATATTTGTACTAGAATGATCACGTGGATCGGTGGATGAGGACGTTTCATTATGAAATGTAACAATCAGTGAACTGGCAAAGGACTCAATTTCAGAAAATTTAGTGCAAATGCAAATTGGTGAACTGGCAAAAGACACAATTTCACATTACTTTTCAAAATGCCAATGTATGTGGAATCCTATTTGTCAGGGCAAAAATTCAAATGCCTCAATAAAAATCTTATTTTGTTTGTTAGTGCATAAAACTAAAAGTTTAAACGTGATTTGATGGTTATTTATATATTTCTTTGGTGAGAATTAAAATTAAAATTTTGAATTATGCTTCAGAATTTGGGATAATCCTTGGTTCCGTTCCAGGGTTGAGGTGGCAGCACCTCGACCTTGGATCTTCACACATGCAGGGCCCGCAGTTTTTACATTGGGGGGCAAGGTGCTGCCACCTCGGCCCTTGGACGGAATCCCTGGATATTATCCCGGGATCTTTAGCATTTTTCTAAATTTTTTAGTAGATTGTAACAGAAATTTTTAAAATATGTGATTGAAAAGTTATGAAATTAACGAAAAATACCATTGATATTGATTGTTTAACTTATTAAAATACCTTGCCCCCTGGACGGAATCCCGGGATTTTATCCCGGGATCTTTAGCATTTTTCTAAATTTTTTGATAGATTGTGACAGAAATTTTTAAAATATGTAATTGAAAAGTTATAAAACTAACGAAAAATGTCATTAATATTGATTGTTTAACTTGTTAAAATAGGGGACATGGTAATAAATTGAATTGTACCCAGAGCAGGTGATGGAATAGAATTCATATGGTTAAAATTGAATTGAATCCACTATTCCAATTTTTTGTCAGCTTTCTAATTTTTAGACAGTAAATTAATTCTTAAAACATTGTATGTGGACAGAACTGCGTCAGGCCTTTAATTGTTGCGAATCCCGTTGAAATTCAAAAGGTCAAAAACATCCTCATTTTTGGAAACTATTTTCCAAAAAAACCCTGCTATTCCATTTTTTCAATAACCTCCCGCCATTTATCTGGGGTAAAATTGCAATAGCGGTTCTTAACTTTTTTATTTTTTACATACTTTACTATAATCTTTATTTTTTGCCAACAGAAGTTCCTAACCTTTGATAAATATGCACTAAGGTCTATCTGGACGGAAACAGTCCAAAAATCGTTAGTTGACAAGAAAGAAATTAAGGAATCAATATCAAATAACACCGTCCAAAAAGGTATCAACATCGAATAAAATCGTCGCGATAACAGATAGTTCA